CACGTAAGCGCATACACACCTGTCGTTCTCGTTGATTCCCATTTCCTCAGCCTTTTTCAACGAACGCTCTATGGTCTGCCGTTTCGTTCTCGATTCGTTCAATCTTCCAGTTAACTCCGCATGCTTTGCGGACAGGGCGTCTCTCTCCTTCGTTAATTTACGGATTCGGTTTTGGAGCGTGGCTCTCTGTTTCTCCAATGCTATTACAGCTGCCGATGAGCTCGTACCACTAGTTTCCTATAATTCATAGTTACGATAATATGTAAAAATGTAAATTAATAATACTCGTACAGAACAAGAATTTACTTCGTTCTCGGAAGTTGACATCGTCGCATACTTCTCGGCTACTTTTGCGATCTCCTGGGCTTGGATACCGACGATGTTCCCTACCGTCGTTACGCTTAATCGAGCCTGAACAAATCGTGAACAAAAGTCATTTTCTATTATTTAATGTTCATTAATATGTCTACTTACCGAGCTTTCTTCGATAGCAGCCAAGTTCCCAGTCACTTGTTCTGTATTTTGCTATAAAGATATACTAGATATAAACGATCCTGTTCAAATGTTACTGAATTTTTATTAATATTCACTTCACCTTCTCTTTTAATTCTGCTTTATTCTCGTTCTCCTCAGCGTCGCCCGAAGTAGTTTCGCTTGCGATGCCAATTTTCGTAGAATATAAGGGTGCCTCGTATTCCAAAACGGTGCCAAGAAATCTAGTAGATTCATCTCTCTTAGCTCCTTCCTTGTGTTTGAAAAGACGCCGTGGTTCGTACGATTTCTAAAACAGAAATTCCGATTTTTATTCTCCAGATTTCTCCAAATAGAAATAAAATACTTTACCTTAACTAACTGAATGTTTCTTATTAGATTCTCTTTAGTCGCTTGCGCAGTTTCCTTGTCTTCGGAGAACGAATGCTTTTTACGAAATTGACTTAAAGCGAATGATCGGACGAATTCGGACGTTTCTTCTCGAGTCTCCATAGATCGTTTCACCAACCACTGACAATTATTATCGTCGTTAATTACTTATAATATTATTTATCGAAGTATCGATTGAAAGCTAGTTTACTTGAATAACAGGGAAGATGTGAATGCAATCTAATCCTTGAATTTGATGAGGCTCTATTCGATATGGACAATTCATTTTAGGCAGCATTGCCACGATCTTCTCAGTCAGAGATCTGTAATATGTTTAATACGAAATAGAGAATGTACGAACTATTAATAAATTATATGGATACTTACATTTTTTGACCTATAGTGAGATTTTCGCGAAAGAGAAGATCGATGTCTACGTCGAAGTTACAGGATTCTATGCACCAGGTCATTCCTCCGATTACCTAAATTAATTATATCGATATTTGCTACTTTCAATAGTTTTAATTAATTCGATGCAATCCATACCTTATCGAAATTCGATAATCCCTTTATCCTAGCTCGGAAGTACCCAGCTGCCAGAAGTAAATCAATAATATCTTGGAATCTCTTTGTCTGTTCCTCATCTTCACGAACATCAGCCTACAAGTATTTTTATTCAAATGTTCATTCTGTACTTTGGAAGGTGGCTAAGATAATTTCTAATTATTGAACTCTGTTTATTATTACAAAAATCAAAATTTCCGCGGCACGTTGTTTACGCAAAAATTTTTCGCCAGAGGGCCGATGTCACATCGAGTGCAAATATTGTTTCGGCACTAGAGTAATTAAAATAACAAATGAATATGAAGATACTTAAATAAAGATATGTTAAATAACGTGGATTGTATTGAGTGTTGTAACAAGTGAGAATTGCGAACCGAACGAAAGGGAAACGGAACATCAGATTCATTGATGAATGTTATGACAATGATGGTAAATAAATAAGAACAATTAAATTCAGTGTGGTCTCTTGATAAACTGGTTTATTCATTTATTGAAACAGGTTTGGTTGTATGAACGTACCTCAGTTGTTTCAGAACTGCGTGGCAATCTTTTCGGCACGTCGTTCAACATGATTAAGTTGTATAAAATTCCGTGTACCGAAACAGTGTAAAATACGTTCGAAACAAATTACCAGCCGATCTGTTTAACAATATTATTGTTCATCAGATTTCTGTCACTCGATGTTAGACATTCTCGTTGTTCCAACCATTTTGCTTGTGTGGAATTTCGACCACAGCGCCGAACGTTGAGAAATAATGAAACTCGGGTGCAATAGTGTGAGTCGAGAGCGGTGCAATTTTGAATTCCCGCGCGGTAGTCAGGCGCGGTCACGTGACCCCTTCTCCCCTCACTCGAGCGTCAGCCATTTTGATGTAAGTGCGTCGTAGTATCAGGTGTTTGCGGCATACCGGCGTTTCAGTTTAATTGATTTTAATCTTCAAATACGTAATTGTTATCAGTTTAGAAGCTTAATTACAATGCATTCATCATTACACGTAAGTGTGAGTATCGCACGTACACTATTATTTGTCGATTTTCGTTATTGATGCCAATTTACGAAGACTCATTCGCTCAACTACTTGTTGAACATTTCTGGCATACATTGCTTGTACTTTTTACAAGTTTTCTCTACATTCTTTCGAGATTCTATACTGTATTCCTGCTTTCGGGCTTATTTGATTGTAGTGTGACCTTTGAACCGAATGGTTGCTGGTTCCCCGCATCCCTCAATCTTTGGTAGCTGGTTCCTGGCATCCCCCTACCTTTGGTAGCTGGTTCCTGGCATCCCAGAACTTTCGGTGGCTGGTTCCTGACATCCCTCAACTTTTGCCTGGTGGAAGGAACGTCAATAGAGCTTTTTATTGCAGTGAGTCATATTTATGTTCCTCCGGTCACTCAGTCATGCCGGGACGAAAGGCCCGAAACGACATGGGTGGCTGGTTGTATTTTATACTTGTTTAACAAGCATGGTAACCCTAAGGATTTATATTATTATAAATGTTCGGGAGTAGTAACAACTTTATATTGTATCGTCATTTATATGTCAGTTCGGGTTAAGGCTTTTTGCACTCGCGATTTATTTCATATTAATGAGAATGATTGAGAACAAACGTTTTATTGAATGGTGTAAATATTTTTCAATGTGTAAGTATTTGGTAATTGCATGGTCAATACGATTTTATTTGACTATGTAGAGTTTAGTTGTAAAGTTGGATACCTTCCGACATCGTGTGAAGTGTAATTGGAAATTCTCAGATTTTATTTGAGAGTACTAAATGGTACGATATTTTTTCAACTTTTAATGCATGATGTGTTATTAATTAGATTTTATTTCCCCAATTTCACGATACTTTCTCACCCTGTATATATATTTATGCATGTCATTATACAGCTATAAGAATCTGTCGGTATGTTAAACTCGGGTGTGGAGTCGTCCCGGGACGGCTCCTGTAGGATCTTGCATCCGAGCATCTGAGAGCCCGTACGTACCGTCGTACCGCGTGAGTCTGTTAGTTTGTCTGTTTTGCCTTTCTTAAATATGTACAGGAGGGTCAGGCAGGCAGGTAATTGACTTCTGGTACGACTGTTAGTATGTAAGCAGGTAGGACTGAGCGCAGGTTGACTCGTTCTCAATCGCGTCTTTTCTTCTCGCCGTGTTTAACTTGTTTCTGGAAATTTGCATTCGATCGATCGACGGTTTTCACGTAGTCGATTCTTCGAATGCCACTCATGTACGATGTTTTTCGTCACTCGTCGGGGTAGAATAGTCTTAAAAAAAGGAGTTTCGTAGTTCTTCGCTTGGTACCGTTTGCAAAGTCTTTGCAAACGCTACCAACCCAGGTCTCACCGCGTGGAGGTGACTACGTTCGAGACCCGGACAGTGGACAATCCCCACTGCCCCCTTCCCTATTAAATTGCCACCCTATTATACGGAGCGAATATTGGAGAAGGATTTTAAACGATTGCGAACAAAACTCTAACTATTGACTCTAACTATGGACTAACTATTGACTCTAACTTTGGACTAACTATTGACTCTAACTTTGGACTAACTATTGACTCTAATTGAAAACTAAAGTGAGAAAAAATGTCAGATTCTACTTGGGTAGCCAGAGTTCGAGCCGAGCAGGACCCTGCACCCGAATGACGATGCCCCTGCGCAGGAATGCTCTGACCACGGCCACCCCGTCTCACCGCGATAATCACCTGGACCTTTCGGTCCAGTCCGCCTTACTGCACGTGTACATGGAACAGAAACACCCCCAGCGACTCACGGGACAGGCCACCCGAGATACAGGACCGCAACTCTTTTCTCCCTCCGGTACTCGAGCAAAGTCTGACTGGTAAACTACTATTCGCGGCGCGGGTATACTAAAACGCGAGCAAAATGGATTGAATGAAACGAGAGAAAGAGGGATGAAGTTAAATTCGCTCCGTTATAGGGTGGAATTTAGGAAGGCATACTGCACACTAGTACCGGTACCCACACACTCATACTCATACTCATACCGCACACGCATACGATGGGATGGGAAAAGGGGTAACTCGACCGGTTCACACCGACCGAGTGACCCGAGGAACGCGGGGGCTCTGTACTTATACCCTCTCGGGGATCGACGGTTTGGGCAAAATGACGTCTGCGCAAAATGATTGGCCGATTCTTAGAAGGCACAGCTCCTAATTTGCATATTCGTTTCTTCCCGCATTTATCGATAATCGGACGAGATTTTTTGGGTCATTCCAAAGGGAATGACCAATTGATCACTGACTTTAAGTACCCACCCCCTAGGATTGGTCATCTGGTCAAGGATCGCGAAATAAAAAATGCCAAGATTAGTTTCCATTCATTTATTAATCAGAATTTATTAATCATTATACAATTTATGATTCCAATCTTCGTACTTCTTCGCTTGGTTTCAAAATCTTGGAACGCCCTGTCGTGGCTGCTCTCTGCATAGATACTGCATAGCCGATATCATGTTTTGAATAATGACGGAGTTACATGTTTCCAAAGTTCATTTCCGTATATTCCAAATCGAGACTCATTAATTATTTTATACAAATGACTAATTTCGGGTTCTACTTGGTATACAGAATCCTATAGAGTCATTTGAAGGCTAAATCTTCTGGCTGTAACATATTTCAAAGCTGATATCACACTTCAAATATATTATTCATGTACTTCGTCTCATTGCTAATAGTCTTTTTCCATTTTACAATATTTGATATAAAAAAGGATAATTAAAAAGGATATCGAGGTTTATAAAGTAATAATTGGGAGATTTTGAAATCGTCGCTTCTTGTAATTAGTTTCAAGTTCACGTAATTACATTATTAATAGCCCGATGCAATAGCAGGCGGTACGAATTATTTTTGAGACTTTGACGTCTGACTCATGTACATTTACATTCATTATTAGACATTGTTATTTTAATTGCGGACTGTCTTCTTACTATTGGCAACTAAGTGATTGCTGATTTTATTGTGAGTCTTTCGACAAAATTCGCAATCACTTAGTTGCCAATATACAGATTTTAATATCAGTGAAATCGATTTATTAATAAACAATTCAGTCTATAAAATATTCAACAATATGGAATGGAGGATGTAGGATTATGGAACTGAGAATGCACTTGTAAATCGATCTGTTGTGTATTAAATATTTATAATAACGTTTGGTACAACTGACAAAATATTTGATGCGCACGGATCACGCACGTGAAACAGAATTCTGCGCGCGATGACGCGCAATTGTGGAAGTCCGAAGTAAAAAAAAAAAAAGTGATAGAAAGAAGTGACGGAACATATATATGTATATCTTTATTTTCTTGTGTCTGTATACGCTCCATAAATTATGGTTCTATCTAAAGAATCCTTCGTTTACATAAAGACTTCGTTTCGTAAAGTCATATTAAACTATCCTGAACTATCCGTGTGTGTCTTTGTTTCCTTGTACAAAATGTTGTACATTACAAAAAAGGAAAATACATATTCTCGATGAAGAATGAGTGGACGAGTATAAAGAATGGGCGTAACATGGACGAAGCTTAGCAAAACTCGACTGTCACTATTATCAGCGGCTAAAATAAGAAAGAGGAACAGTTCTGCTTCTACCCTGTTCTCGATTAAACGCGCTCTTACATTTGACAAAATGTTTCATGAAAAATGGCAGAAAAACTACGCTGTGCGATGGTCATCGTTACTTCCCGTATGAACTTTGCGTCGTGTTTTCGTTCTTATACAAAATCCGCTATTGTGCTCGGTCATTGAAATCGTTGCAAGATCCAAATTATCGATCTCGATTAATCAAAGAATATGTTACTTATGCTGTTATTATATAATATCTCCGTTTTTATAAAAAATAGAGGATAGTTTCCATTTTTTCTTTTTAATAAATGGCATTTTTATTCGTTAGCAGAATAGAAAAATAAGTTGTTGGTTTATCGAAATTAATTAGAAATTGTTGCTCGTTTTACTTTTATGTACTTCGTATCGAATAAAAATGCCGTTCAACTCGAGGGATCCAAAGGTTTATAAATTTGATATTAAACTGGAGATATTTATACATAACAACGTTCACTATACAAATTCCAGTCTTATATTCTACGATTCCTACAAGGCGAAAGAACCAAGGCACTAGATTGTTTCGCGTTATCCATCAGATCGTGAATGCTGGTATGGAAATAGCTCGTAACGCTGACGAATCGAAGGTCGTTCATCAAGATATATACCTCCAGTCGAATAAGATCGCACAAAATCAGATCTGATTAATGAAAAATCGATGATTTAATTCCGAGTCGAAAAATACAGGAGAAACTGATTACTCGTTACATTTATTATTTGTACTATTTTCTGAGAAAATCTGTATTGTCGTTGTTGAAAAAGTTTCTCATTTATTGTCTCGTGAAAAGGACGATTTATCTTGACGAGTCTCCTTCAAGATTTTCGTTCGCTCGTATATTATATGAACTATTTTTATATATATATATATTTGTTTTTTATGAGCTCGTTCCGAATGCGTTATTAGTTTTTATTTAGCTTTCGGACAATTCGGACTCGATGTTGCCCAGTCAAAAATTTAATTAGCGTTCTAATCTCGCGGGCTGACGCACGGAGACGCGACGCGAGCCAGCGTCGACGTCTCCTCGCTAAACTTCTTACGGACTAGCAAGCGTGTACATCGCGATATTATCACACCTACGCAGTTTCAGTTTTTCTGTCTCCTATCCTTAATTAATCACCGTTCTTTTGTACGTTCTCTTACGATCGTCATTCTCGTTTTTCGTGCAACGTGCACTAGGAACAAAATCGCCAGTTTCCATAGACCTCGCGTCGATCTACTATTTTTATCGAACGACATTGCTTCCAATTTGGCGTTGCCAATTTTTAATGATAGAAACAGTTATGCAATTTTGTATCTAACTAAGCTGAAGAAATCCTTTGACTCTAATTTTAATTGTGATCTCAAACCGATGAACCGATCGACGTTCGAATCTGGGAAACCTCCTCGTGTATCTCGTAGGTCGCGGAAGTTACACGGGTCGATGCCAAACGAATAAAAACTCGGTCCCCCCTCCCCTCGTTTGGTAGAAACGACGCTTAAGTATATAATTTATGTATCTACACTCGTACGTACTGGCGTACGTAAACTACTAAGAAGACCCGGAGAAAATGTAATCGGAGAAACCGTCCCGCAGTTGTATACGTGAAGTCGATGGTGGGACTCCGTCGTAGTCGACGCAAAGCGAATAAATAATATACGGAGAACAACGCACGGCCCGCCTCGCCATCCACGCGTTACTCGATTAATACTCGTCTCAGCAGTTCGCACGTATCCCTTTGACCCTTCGGGATTCCCAGGTCTCGTGGGTGTCTCGGTGTTCCCAGCCATGCCGCTCGTTTTGCTCGGTTAATCGCTCGAAGTCGGTGTCTGGTAAAATTCATTAGTGTCGCGTTCAACCAGTTTTAAAGACCGTCGTGGTTACTCGATTTCTCAAATATTGACTTCGGAATAATTTCGATTTATTCTGTATTTGTCCTTCGAAATTGAGGTCTTCCGATGATAGACTCTCGTGATAGAAAATTTAATTGGAAGAAGGCTGACATTAATGACTCTTACTCGTACACCTGGCGTACGGCGTTCCGCGCGACGTCAGTAACGACGACTGTTACATAGATATTTACGTCAAGCCTATATTCTACGCCGTAAGTAGAAAGGGGCGAGTTTGTATAATTTAAAAAAAGGAAGTTTGCGTACGTATTGTCATTCTCAGTACGCACAGATCTTCGTTAGTATCCTATGCATGCGAGTTGCAGAGATCGTGTAGATCTCCTGGCAGTTTGAATAAAAATTTCCTCGATCTTAAGTATAATAGTTGATATAAAACAAGATTTTCTTATCAAGAAGCTGTCGAGCGATACGCAAACTCCTTCTGTGTTTGAGCAGCTGCGAAACAAGGCTAACGAACGCGAGGGGGCAAATGAGGATGAGTGGTAAAATAAAAATTAGGTATTTATCATTCGTATACCGTCGTCTCTGTGCGATATCTTTCGTCGTCGTTACGGACGTCGCGCTGTCAGTGGATGAAAGGAAAGGAAAACTAGAGAGAAGGAGCGAGACGAAGCTTGAAAGTTCGGAGCTCGCTAGGTCGCGTGACCTCTTGCGCCGGGTTAACCGGCGGCGGCGGCATCACCCTTCCGTGGTGTTGGTCGTCGTCGTCGTCTCCCACTTCGGGTTCCGACGAGTCCGCTCGACGTGAGCGGACGCGGAAGGTGTTCAAAGAACACGCCGGCATCTGTGGTACGCGCTGAGCGATTATTCCGTCGCACCGCAGCTCCTTCGAACCCGGCGCTTCATATGTTCTCCTCGAGAATCTCCTGGATGCTGACGTAAGTGCCGGTGAGAAAACCGAGCACCCCGAACATGATTATGGCCAGATTCTTCCAAAGCCTCCAGTTCCAGGTGCCCAGCCCGTTCTCCTGTTCCCAAACGGTTACCAGCTCGATTATAGAGGGGAACATCAGACCCAATGTAGAAAGGCACACGGCGCCTACTAGAGAAATGAACGGGCCGAGATTTGGGATAGCAATCGCTACGCCCACCGTGAAGATCACGAAGCATATACGGACAAAGTATTCGCCCAAGAGCTTCTTCGAGCCGAAGTACTGTTTCAAATTCTTCCAGATGATCTCCATCGGCACGTAGAATTGAAGGCCGTAGGTGAGGAAGATCGCCACGGCTATCATCACTTTTGACGACTGAGCCAAGATCTCGCTGTGGTCCAGATTCAACGTGATGGAGGCTTTCGTGTCCTCGCCGTATCGCCAATAACCGAAGAATCCCACGGTGCTGTACAACAGGACCACGAAGAACATGCCGGTGTTCAACACGCCCGGGCAACCGATGAAATGCGTCGGCGTCTTCATGTTGTTCTCCAAGGGCATTACCTGTTAATAGAAAGATTCTTTTTAAAACTGATTTGTAGGAATTAGAAACGAGAGCTTAGGTGTCCTGTGTATCAGAGGTTGACCCTAAACCTCAGATACGCTTCGACGCTTCTCTTGTTACTTAATGGTATCGAGCATAATCGTATTACACGCTAAATCGAACGAATCGCGTCGTCTACGTTTATTATGTAACGTCTAGCGTCTGTTGCCTCATCTCTTTATGTGCATAGATAGATATTGTAATAAAGCCACGTGCGGCTTTTCCAGTATTATGCATGTGTTATCGTCGTTCTATTTATGCTTTGACTGTATAATTACGTAACAGTTGTTTGTAGTTTAATTAGATTTGCGAAAAACGATACTTTAGCAGAACGCGAGGGATACATATATATATACGTGCAATCGTCGGATAATTGAAAAGAAAATTGCGATCTTCCAAGGTCTCTTTTAAGTAGCGCGCAATAAGACGGAGGAATTTCACCGCGATTGTTGCATCGGAATTTTCAACCCGGCGTTTAACCAACACTCCCGTAACCGTTTACCGCATGATCGTAATACTAAACATGATTCGACCGCTACGTCAGCGCCCGATTGGAATATCAACGAGGTGCTCGAATTCTTCAAGACGGATCGGAGTGACAACGTGACGAACAGCGTTGGATTCATAGAATGATTTAATCTACGAATTTTATGTGGATAATTGGAATATGAGCGGATTGTACTTACCACGCCGATGCCCTCGAGAGCGAAGATCGCCGTGCCGAAGAACAGAGGTAGCTGAGACCAGCTCGAGAAATTCGGGCGACCGTCCATCGCCGGCAGGTCGCTGAAAATGTAGTAGAACGTGATACCAATCGCGGTGGCGATCAGCACGTTCGCTACCATCGAGAACGGCGCCAGGAACTTGAGATTCCTCACGAGGGAGAATATGATCAGAAGCGGTAGCAACGCTGCCATGAACAGTCGGACGTCGCGGTCCGTTTCCGTGTAATAATCGACGACTCCTTTAATGTTCGTCGAGATGAAAACGATGTACACGCAGCAGCAACCTATTAGGTCGATCACTAGGAACGAATTTATCGTCGCCCTGTAAATATTCGAAAGACGCTCTCATTACTTTTTTTCTATATCAATCGATTCTTGGAAGTTAGTCGAATTTTTCGTTGCACGTTCGAAATTTGCATGTATTCTTATGGTAATCACTTTTCCCGTAGGTAATTAGAGTGCCTATAACTTCTATTTGAACCATTCTTCGATATTTCGACAAAAAAAAATTTTTCAATTTTTCTGACATTTTTCCAAGGGGTACCCC